TCTCGGCTAGTGATCTCGCTAAGAGCGTTACTTGGATGATGAGGACTGGGCAATACACATTTTTAAAAGACTTATTCAGGATGGTGTTTGGCTTCCGTGTTGATGAAGTTGATCCACGAAAGAGCGTCAGCATTTCGGTATGAAAAAGATGCTTAATTCTGGAACGTCAATTAGTCTATCTCCGCTCGCTATATACCATCAAACAGACCGCGATGGAATTTTGCCATTTTGCTGCGGCCTTCATGACGGCTCCAGCGTATGTGCTAGATTTCTGGTGTCACAAACTACAAGACTGCCTCAAGGAACTCAAACAATACAGTTCTTCTAAATGTGATATTAAAGAATACGACAATGCCTCAATTGAGCAAGTTCACTCACACGAATCACATTATCTCTGTCGATGCCAATGTCTCCAAAACGGTGTGCACTGGAACATTGAAAGACGGAGACATGAGTAAAGGGATGTTAGAGCAATGTCTAGCTGCATTCAATGGGTACAATGGCATAACTTGTACGAAAACGAGAATCAGAACGAGAACGAAATCAACGATGCAAGGGGGAATTGGGAGGCTATTTTATATTTTGCGTTTTTTTTTTTTGTTTTTTTTTTGATACCCTTGCTGTAAGGCGTTGCGGCGCGAGAAGGAAATGTTTTCTCTTCGCCCTGTGGATATTATATATGACTGTGGATTCTAACATACTTCTACATACTTCAAGATTTACACTATATTTACTTCTTAGATTTCCGTAGAATCCATTCCCATGAATTCCTTCCTTCAATCTCCACGCGTTCATATGAAGTGCATTGCTATTCCCCGCTTCTCTCAATTACAAGTATCATAAATCATAATAAAGCCTCAAAAACAAACTTTCCAGCATCTCCGATAATAAAACCCGGTAGTCGACTAATTATAGAAACAATGCAATGCACGCGACGTTCACAGATAGGCGAGACATTCAATCACATCACGTTACATGATGAACCAATGAGGAACGAGTAGCTCGGTTCTATTTTTTGTCATGGCTTGAAATAGAAAAGATATGAGAACTAGTGGGGTTGAAGATGAGATTATTGCGCGAAGCCAATGGCTATCGGCGCTTGCTTGCTTGCTTGCTTGCTTGTAGAATTGATGGATGGATATGCTAGGTAGGTACTGGTTGATATATGGGGGTTATCGGCGCGCGGCTATTGTTATATGTAGGTAGTTATGTGTATATGACTGTGCAGAGTACTGTGCTGGACCATGCTGGAGTCTGGACTGGGCTAGTTGATTTGTTTCATTTTTTGGGGGGGTATGGAAACTTGGATTTGCTACTTAAATTTCGTGCAAGGTATATGTATTTATTTTGTATACTGCGATGAAAAGAAACTGGGCTCGCTCCTCCTGAGGTTGTGTTTTGTGTTGACCTTTTGGTGGTGGGATTGATATCGCTGGGTATGTAGGTAGATATAGATATAGATAGATATGATCAATTACATTGTTGGGAGGATTATGTGTTGTGGTTAGAGGGTGAGATAGGTTAGAATAGGATATTATTATTGTTATTATTATTTGATGATTCTTGGGTGGTGATATGATTTGGGAGTGAGTGTAATAGAAAGATAATAGTTGTGAGGTATTTACATATTTGATGTGGTTCGATATTGGGCGCATACCTCCTGCGTAGTTCATGTGGAAGAGCTGTATCCTCGATCTCGTTTAGCTGTCCTCGGAGGGGGTCCTCTTTTTCTTTTCAACGCCCGGAGTGGAGTGTTCGTCTAACCAATCTTCACCCCGTGCCGAAACATCAGTAGATGAATGAAGATAGGTCTTCTGATTCTGTGTCGAAGAAAGTCCTTGGGCAATCGCTGTATAGAATTGAGGCATGACTTATCCCGTGTTGTCGAACACAATGATACGAGAAGGGGTTGATAATGATTTAGCGCAGTTAGAACTCATGCACTAGTTGTTTGTGGCGGTGATGCTCTATCATGATGCTTTCGTTCCTTGTATACTACGGACGATCCAACGGTGATGAAGTGTGATGCTAGGGGCGGGAAGGTTGTGCTAGAAACCTCCTCTGATTTCTGCTAGATCGTCTGAGTAAAGGTGGACATTTTGGGATGTGAGAGGTATTTGCGCGTTTCTTGTGGCAGATTGATGCATCATCGGGTGGATGACTTCGTTCGTAGGAAATGTCCCAGAGCCTTGAGTAGATGTTATGACCACCAGGTCACGCGTGAGATATTCGGCTAGTATGTTGAATGTGAGGGAGTCGGGATATCAACTCGGTCTCATCGATAAATATCATCGATAGATAACCTCTACATCCCCCTTTGGAAATTTGCGCAGTCGTTCCATGATTTTTGCCTCTCCAATATTTAGTACCGTGGTTATTTGGTCAAAACAATGGCAACCATCCGTATACTTCCGCAGCGCGTCATCTCTTCTATCCATATATATTGCTTGTCTAGAGGCAATCGATGATAAATACATGGAAGAAACAGCATACCTATGCACGCGATAAATGAGGCCTTTTATGACACCGAATTGGATGAAACGACGAACATCGATATAATTGAGGACGTTGAGGCCTTGATCCATGTGTAATTTGAGCCATTCCTTGAGAGTTCTTGAGGTACAAAGAGTGGTAAAGAGTCGACAGAGTAGAAAATTTGTGAGGCGAGGACCATTGATGTAGACATAATTTGCGCATTCATCTTGCATACCGTCTTTGTCAGCTACAAAATCATTCATTTCAGATGTAGGCGCGTAAATGTTGCTGAAGAGAAAAATATCAAGCATAAGGATGGAATCATAGTAGAGAAGATGCTGTAAGGCTATTTTGGTAAGATCCATAGCAACATTTGCGTCGTGAGCGATTCTTCGGACGTCTTTAATGCCGTCAATGTGCTTGATTACTTTCCTCATGGTGAGATCCCAGGTATCGTCGACGATTTCGGCAAATTTGATCTTCGAGATTGGGACATGCCATGCCTTTATAGGGGGTGGGTGTCTGTGGATGGGGAAAAGCTTCATATTAATAGTGTTTGCATCATCTACATGCATTGTTAGTTCACAGACCTCAAAAACTTAGAAGACCCGTAGGATACATACCGACAGGAATCATGCACTCATTGTAATTATTCAAATCCTCCTTAATAATCTCCAACAACGCAGCTATCGACCTTCGATCTTGGCATGAAAACGTACCCTCCTGACTCAAATACTCATTCTGAATTTCCATTTCCGTAAACGTTGATGCCAAACGTTTAACCACAGCTTCATAAGGAATCTTGTCCACCTCAACTCTAGTCACGATGCAAAAATTGAACATAAATTCATTGCGTTCATATTTTTCGTTTTTGATACAAACCGGATGGCCTAAAATGCGATGTTTGTTCTCGGGATCACATACTGTAACATGTCGATTGCAAAATGCTTGACGGGGAATGATATATTCGGCCAGCTTTTCAAAGTCGAACAGACGTGGTTTATCTACATCAGGTTCTGGGACAATACATCCTGGAGGACTTTGATGAACGACCTTGGTACCTGGTAAAGATGTCAGTGAATATATGGATTGAAGGTAGATACATGTATGCATGTACCTTTCTGGGGAAGGAAACGAGCAAAGAATATTCCTTCAATCATGATGAGTTCTAGTGAGTATCGCTAGGGAGAACCAGTTGATATCTCTCAATGTGAAGTCTTTCCCTTGTGGTCTAGATTTCGTCCTAAAGATGGAATATCGTTCAAGTGACGTTAAGTCATTTGAACTGATTGGGCAATTTCCGCCGCATGTCTCGTGACTGACTCAATATATCCGTGTGTGATTAGTCATCTTTGAACCACAGTATCATTGTTTCATCGTGTCGCTATTGCTGTGCTTACTCCTACTCATAAACATCTTCATCTATTTGTTGTCAGTCTAATTTAATATTACTTTGAACAGCTTTGGTGAACTATATGAGCATCATTCCCAGGTGCTTCCATCATCGAGAGGTACATAGACGAGCCTGAGAACCTGATTTCCAAGAGATAAGGGACTTTCCTCAAGCTTGTCAGTGTTCTGTAGGGATTCACACGTTTCAGAGTCTTTGATTAGCGAAACACGCTGTCTCCACAAATTTTGGAATGAAATCTTGTCTAAGTTTCTTTTTAATGCCATAATTTGAATCTTCATTATTTATGGGTAATTTCTGATGTGTTCTTTTGATTTTTGGTATTGAGTATCGAGGTGGCCAAATTCTTATCTGTTACTTCGCTTACGCAGAGAGAAACTTTGCTGCTGCACCAGAGATTTCGGTGAACCACAGGCCAATTGAAAGATCTGGATCTTTGGGTCAGATATTCGATTAAAGTAAAGTACGGAGTACTTTGTAGGTACTAGGGAAACGGTAAGGTTTAACTGAAAAGGGATTAAACGACCCACACTTTGTCAGAAAACAGAAGCATTTCAGCAAATCTTTTCTTCCTTCCGTTCTTCCTCTCTCTCATTCTCTCCTTCAATCGTTGCTAGGGAATTCTATCAAAGATCTTTCTTCTCATACAAATATCATCTAATCACTAAAGCTTTTCTCAAGTCTCAAGATGCGGGTCTGATTTTGTGAGACTGTACAAAAGTGCAGCAGTACTTATATACAGCTCGCTTTCATTCGGAATCTGATAGTAGCAACAAGTTCTCCACTTTTTGATTTGTGGTTTTGACTTGTCAGAAACTCTTGAGAATCGCTGTTCTCTAACACTTTCGTCGCGTATAAAAGGGGTTCTGAGATAGCAGAGCTCTTTGACGGTGATAAGAGAGAACTCCATCTGGAGTGTGTAAATAACTTAAGTTATTGCGTTCTCTTACCTCGATCAGGCACTATCACTTCTATGCCCCTTGAAGCCGATCTTTAATATAACAAGGTTATAATAATTGTTCTCTCCTAAACTCTCATTTTCTGCGAACGGACCTATATCCAGCAAGTTGTGTGTTGGTGACTTTGACTATCGTGGTCACTTGCTACACTCAACATGCCCTCTAATGAGTCACTAGATGGCCTCGCCACCAACGACAATAAGCCTATTCACTGTCAGTTTATCATCCAATCATTTTCAAATGTTTCATCACTTAAATTAACGCTAACACGATACCACTGCTATAGCTTTGGATTTCCCACAACTTTATAAACGCCCATCATACTTGGAACTTTTGCAAGTATTAGAACTACTAAAACTTCCACCGCCTTCTTGGAATTCAAAATCTAGGAGGTCCCAAGAATCTGACGATGCTCAAGGCATATCTCGTTATCTGACCAAAATCATTGGAAGCGAGCTTGATTGGTTGTCCACGGGAGTATCTGAAGAGGAATGGGAACAACAATGTGAAACAATCCATGAACTTGCTAGCAAGAGACTGGCGGAACGTTGTGGACGCTCAGGTAAGACATCTAATTTCTTGAATACTTGAACTGAGGGATCACATCACAATCAAGAAATCATCTGACTGAATGCAGCAATGCCAGAGATGATCCGTACTTGGAGCATTCCAACATCTGGAGATTCAGAAGACCTCGCCATTGAACTGTGTGAGCCTCCACTCACTGGTGATAGTTTGGGTCTCAAGACATGGGGTACTTCCTTCGTAATGGCCAAGAAGCTGGAAGAGCTAGGAAACCTCTATTTTAGCGGTGTACTTTCCAACAGTGATTTGTCTGGGCAAGAGCTTGCAACTTCACAAAATGGCCAAACTGTGGAAAGTGAGTCAACAGTAGAGATTCAGTTGACCATGGGGTGCGACGAAACATTGAACTGCATCACGAGAATGAATGGCAATGCCGTCATAGTAGGAGACACTATGGTGGTCAGTGAGTCGAGCATGGAAAGGGATGTGATGCATCAAGGAGACTTCCCGAGACAGGATGTCTGCAACGAAGCGAAAATCCTAGAGCTTGGTGCCGGTACTGGACTTCTTGGATTGACAGCAACTATGCTCTGGAACAAGACCACCATCTTGACTGATCTCCCTGACATTGTTCCAAACCTGGATGTTAATCTCAAGAAAAATGGTTTCGGCCATACTTCTGAAGATAAAGCCAGTGCAGCAATCTTGGATTGGAGTGATGCAGAAAACTCCGTGGTGTTTAGCCAAAACCCAGATGATAAGTTTGAGGTATGATAAGTATTCTTTGCATATTTTCCCTTTCTATGATTCAAATATCTAATTAAATTCATAGATAATTCTTGTTGCCGATCCCTTTTATGATTCTCACCACCCTCCTCTTCTTGCTGGAGTTATCCCGAAGTTCCTCAAGAATAGTGAAGACAGTCGTGTGTTGGTATCAGTGCCGCTAAGAGACAATGCAACAAAGGCGATGAAGAATAACTTTGAGGAACTGATGTCCGTTCAAGGATACCAATTAGTTGCTAGTGGTAAAGAACGCTGCTTCGATGATTGGGAGGATTCAGAACGGGACGACGACGATGATGGCGTACACTGTTGGTGGGGCATCTGGAAGCACGATGTAGCGGCATCTACTCCAATACTTCTATGATTTCATTTCTATAGAACTGTTAATGTCCTCGACTTTTTTTGTAAATGAGATGAATTGTGAATCTTATAGTAGCAAAGCAAAAGTTATGTGATTGGCATGATGATGGTAAAAATCATGCACAATCAATGTGCTTTGTAGATTGATTCAAAATTTGCTCCACTCCGCCCCCCCCTCCCCCTCAGATTCTTGTTCTTGATATTCAGATTTGCGTTCTTCATTCATAGATAGATTGTATTCCTATTTTTAGTAGCTTTCCCTATCACTATCCACTGATATATAGCCCCATGATTTCACGTACTATACTATGATGGAAGCGTTCAGGTCATCTGTTCTTGTTCTTTACTTGACAGATGATGGACTGGAATTAATTATTTTTGTATTGCCAGTTCAAAAATGAGAATAAGAATGTACGGCATCATACAGAAAGAGCAAAAGTTTATTTCAACGCCCACGGATCATGAAGCTGCCAATGTACCCAAGCTAACCACTATTGAAGCCTCCATTTTTACCATTATCATCTATCTATCACCTCTGAACTTGAAAGGCTCAAAGTAAGAAGTCATCCGAACTAGGTGTGGGTGAATTGAAATTTTAGATCATCTACTGGTTCTAGTTTTTGTAGGATAATTCACTTCTTTTATATTTAAGCATAAGAGACATTCCATGGAAGACTCTTTATTTAATCTCCATCCTCTTATCCATCAACTCTCCAAACCGCAACTTCCTTTCTATCTCTTGGGTATATTCCCATAATTTAGGAAGGTCTACTTCTTGTGGCTTTGGAACTCTTGCGCACTACCTTCTATATTGACTCCCGTTATTAGACGCCGAGTATCCTGGTTTGATCTCTTATATCATACATTTCTTGCACTTCTTTTTAGATATAATCATCTATTGTTTTGACACGCTCGCCCCAACCAACAATTTTACATCAAACCCCCTATCAAGGCATCAAGAAATCTGGCATTTCCGACCTGGGGTCTTCCATCATACCCTCTCCTCTTTCCTGGATCCACCCAACTACAACTTTCATCTGAACTTTCGAAAAGCTTCTAGGCTTTGCAGCAAATATATAGGAGGAAGCCACGACCATTATCGCCCTAATCGACATCTCAAAGTGTCTTAAGCCCTCAACTTCGGTTTCGCAGAGCCCGGGAATCATTACATCCCAATTTTTACAATCGCTATTGCATTTAACGATATTGGAATCATCACTTATATTTTCTCAGATTTTTAGCATTCAATATTTGAATAATCGAAGAAAACTGTTTCTCGGTTACAGCTATTGCTGTGAATGTCCCGCGAATACCATTTCTTCTACCAATCTTCTCATATTTAAACTCCTCCAAATCGAACTTTCGAAAAGCTTTCCCTTTCATCCTTACAACCAATATTATCACATATAATACGCCTCTTCGATCCCCAACATTATCTTCGAAAACTTGAGGTCAAATTCACTTTGTCAAGCATTCTTCAAAATATTTTTGACAAGGACCTAATACCGAGCCACAAACTTCCTCGGTACAAAGCTTCTGGCTTGAAGGATCATATAGAGGACAGAGGAAATAAATCGCATACAGGCCTGGCTTTCACTGAGCTCCGTCAACCCATAATATCATCATCATTACCATTTCTATTACGAGAGAATTCACAAGATCGTGAGCAGCAACGACAATAAACGGATATTCATAATCTAATCCTACGAAATAGATCCAAGCAGTGGTAAGTCGACTAGAGATGTTATGCCCCATATGGAAAAGAGTGATATTGGAATATTTGTTTCATCTTTACTACTGTCCAGTATATGCGCTAACTTACCTTGAACAGCCTCTACCATTCAGCAAGGTTGAAGCGTATACGTCTATATCTCACGATTTGAAACTTCACCTTTGGATCTAGACATTATCGGTTGTCAACTGGCAAGATGGTAGGTGTGAAAACATGGACTGACGATGGGCTTTGGTTTGTTCTCTTGGCATCCAAAATCCCCTCACCGTCTTCCGCCCAAAAAAGTAAACCAGGCAGGTTCTTCACGGATGAAGCAATTGGACTTCTCTGCAAGAAGAATGTTAAGGACTTGCGTCACACACCAAATGCGGCGAGCGTTAGATATGCTCGTACTCAGAAACCGGAGTAAGTCCATATCAATATACTTTCACGTGTACCATCCTCTAATTTCTTAGGGCACAACCCTCTCCAGAAGTTCTAGAAATTATTGAGCGACTACGCAGTTCTGTTTCTGAGGCTCAAGATAGCACAAATGGGAACACGCTGGAGAATCCGCGGAATGGCACTATGGCTGCCCACAAGCGAAGCTCCTCAGGGAGCTCTAGTAATACTAGTTCAAATGCGATGTCACCAATGCCAATGGGGAGTCCTCTCACTCAGTCACAACCTAGAAGAAGCGGCAATTGGAACAGGAGTGAAGTTGGTCAATTTGCTCCCAACAGATCTCACACCATGAGCATGAGTGCAAATGGACCATTCACCAAATCATATGAACGAGGGCATGAAAATACGTATGTACTCTCTTAATAGGCAAGCTAACAAGTTAACTAATTTTAAAACAGTGTTCCGCTAGCTAATGCCAACAAACAACAGCAACATGAAGGTGGTTCACTGGGCAATGGAAGTCGCCAACAACAACCTAGACAGGTACACCCCGCAACGACTAGATCGAATCCATTATGGTATCCTGGTGTCGACGTTTCATCTTCAATGAGACAAACAATGGGCAACAGTCAGGGAACGAACGCTTACATGCATAATGGCGGTGGCATTCCAGAGTATTCGCAGCACGTACCATCGGGCACTATGTATCAATTTTATGGCAATCAAATGGGCCCAGACACGCACCAAACTCAGTCTTATGGCCATCCAACGCCTATAGATTCGCCATACTCAACAAATTACGGGAACTATACACAAGGCTTACCAGGCCTGGGTATAAATGGAATGCCAATGCCAACAGGCCCTTTTGATGTTGGAAGTTCTTCTTATCCACATGACACGCCTTCATATGGTCAGTTCGAAGCATGCACAGTGCCACAGAACCAACAGTTTTATGGGGAAACGGTTTCACAAGATAGATTGCCGTATACAAATCAGTACTCTCCACAACAACAATACGGTATCGAATATCCCTTCCCAACATTAAACATCGATTTGGACGGTATGGAAGTTATCCCTCAGAGACATCATGGTCTCTCACATGCCACAATGAATGATTCCAACTTCGCCAACGTTTCATCCTTTGGTCTTGCACAATCTATATTTAACAGTCCTAGTGATACTAGTGGTTCAAGTAATGGTTTCATTGAGCTTCTTGACAACCGATCTAAGTCAAACGACCTTGAAACACAAGGAGGCTCTGCCCATCAAGTTAGAATCATGTCTCAAGAACCACAACCATCTGTCAGCGCAGAAAAGGGGAAGAAAAGAAGTATTGACGAGGCCGAAATATCCGATATCAATTCTGAAGGAAGCTGTGAGAGACACAAGAAAAGGCACAATAGCGAGGATAAGGATTGCTCTACGCAACGAGAGTCCAATCATCAGAATGCAAGACATGATTGGGAATTGTCTGAACAAGACAACACCCAAGAGCCTTTTATTGCTGCTTTAAGTGGCAGTCTGATTGATTTCACTGCTATTGCTCTCGATAACACTTCAGGTGCTATTGTAGTCTCTGGGGTTAGCTCAGCCACACACAGTTCAGATGAAGCTGGATTATCTCCCATCTCTACGAACTTGACCGTCGATTCAGATGATTCAAAAAGCACCGAAATCAACGACTCGCACGATGGACTGCCAAATTTGAAGTCGCAAGCAATTTCCCACGAGTCGATTGAGATATTGCCTCACCAAGAAGATGGCACTGCGGCCAGAAACTCCAATGATACAGAGGATGATTTTCTCAGAGAGGAAGATTTCCTAGGCCTTTCGGACCAATTTGACGACACATACTACGATCTGAGCACGGGTTTTCACGAGATGTCAGATGAGGTTATTGAGGCAGACTATGCTTATTTGTTTGATCAGATGTGAGAGCCAGATCAATATATTTCGAAGCATTACGAACTCTACTTCATTCATCGAAGTTGCCAAGTTCGCCTATTTTTCTTTATTCACAGTGCTACTACGATTTGAGTCCACTAGAAACTCTTGGTGGAATCGAATTTAATTGGCATACTGCTATTTGCCATCCATTACATTGGTTGTGTCGAAACATTATTACGATTGGGGGGTACTGAAGAAGAGCATATAGATATTTCGGTAGGGATTGGGTAGCATGGATAGAATTGAGGATATTATTACAACAAGAGGAATTTATTCAGGGCATAATTGGATAGCGTGGTTGGATCACCTGGTGCTTGGAAGAGCATCATTTCATAATATATTTGGGGGCTGAGTTGGAACTCATGCATTGTGTCTTTCAGCAAGGAGTTCGAAGACTTTTCAATGGTTGGGTTAAGATATTCTTTTTGTGGTGGGATTCAATGAAGAACTATGGCGGTGGAGCTTACCAGGTATTATTATCTGTGATAGTAGATAGAAAGTACCCATTTATTCAATCTTATTCACGCGAGTGTTTCACGAGGCTCTCGTAGTAAGATTGCTATTTGGATCTAAAGAGAGTCAATTGATATTTTTCTTCTATGATTCAAGTTTAAACACCAATCTTGATGTTTTGCGATTGAAGTATTCAAAGGTATTTATATTCTCAGTGATTCAAATATCTAGTGACAATATTAATATTCGTTGGACAGGAAGGAATAACAAACGAGCCATCTCACTGTGCACGGTCATTACCCCTGAATAAGCCTACAAGCATACCTAAGCTTATTCGCACATCGAGATGCTTAGAAACTCTCACAGTGAAACTAAGAATGATATGTTTCGATATTGATGAAATCTTGACTTGTGATTTGATGTTCTGAGATGCATCGTATGCAAATCAATTTCTATGTTTACTTTAATCAACATTGATCCATATCAGCTTGTAGATTGGGATGATATTAATGTTCTCGTTTACTTGATATCCCATCTCGTTCGATTCTTTGGGGCTTGTAAGGTAGATGTAAAGTCCCCTACTGCGCTATCGGAATGTTGCATAGTAGGTATTGATGTGAAACGCGGGGATGTAGATGGGGATGGAGATTGTAGGTGGATCTCTTTTAGGATGTTGAGGAAGGATTGTTATTGCTAGATGAAAAGTCTGAGTTCAAGTGAGATAAATAACGCTTTAGCAATATCTCGTGCTGGTACCTATGTATGGTCATTTCGTCCGAGGAAATCCGGCTAAAGAACAGAAAACGAGACAGGGTCACCGCTAAGCTTTCATGTCCCACAATTTTCACGTCTGGATACAACTGATCGCTATGTATTGACTACTGTTTATTTCTTCTCGGTCGAGCTCTTTTGGCAGCAGGCATGGATGATTCGACAAAATCTTCGTCGCGTTCTCGCTTGACAATAGATTCGGCCACATCTTCGACCACGCCTTCGTCGTCACTTTCGATCTTGATTATAGGCTCCCTCGTGATCGCTGCGTCATCCCAGCGGATAACAAGAAGGGCCTTAAGAGATTCTACGAGATATGATGAGCCAATGAGTTCTAGAACATTTGTGGAAGAGTCATAGAGGAAAACTGCACCTTTAGAACGATACCTCAACTTGAAGACTCCCTGGGGTTTAACGGACCTAGATCGATCGAAATCCATATATTTGATGTCGTACACATTCCTAATCCATGGATCTTCACCGGCGGGCTTAGCAGGTCCCAGGCTGAGGAATGTTTAGCAATGAAATCTAGAGAGTTGTTCATGCGTATACTAACGTGGCCATGTGAGACTGGCTTTCCAAACGTCCACTGATCGCGTCCCAATGAACGTCTTTCATCAAGTGATTGTTCAACTCGGGCTGCTTCCAAAAGGTCGGGCAATACTTGCGCGCTTGGGTTGCAGATAGCTTCTTGACAGACTTTGCTCGATAAAGGCCGACTTTTACTTCACCCGTCTTTTCGAGGTGCGATACATCATTCTCAATTTCATCTCTCAATTCCTCGCTGTGGGCTTTTAATGTTCTCAGTAAGATCAACGGGAGGCATTGGAAGAACTACTTATACACAGACAACTTGGAGAATTTGAAAGGGCTAACTACCTCCTGTTCATCTTCGATGCGATGAGACCCAATACACTCGTGAACGTGTGATGAAGATGCCTGGCAGTCTTGCTCGAACTCCTGGCGGCCGAAAGGAAGGGTTCTGATGTCTACACCATCAACCATTATGTTCAGAACAATGTACGGACTAGTCCATTTATAGCTTTTTTTCAGTAGTGATTCTGATCGTGAACTCCTTATCTGGCACCACCTCGACGTATTTCAAGACGGTACTCCGCTCGGCCTTCGCGCTCCGATCGGTGTGTTCGATTAGCGGTTCATTGTCAACACAGATACTGACTTCAATACCAGGAACAGATTTCAGGATAGCCATCTTCAATAGCTCGGATTCTTTGGTAATATCACGAAGAGAGGCTAGGAGTGGTATTTGGATAGGCGATGGAAAAAAGCAGCAAACGAATTTAAACTCGTTTGTGTTGATGTTTTAATGAGGCCTTGCCAGACTGCTCTCTTTAAGCTTAAGGAAGAATTGGCGAGCTGCATGCCTTCTCAAGGGTTTGTGAAACAGACGTGCATAATTAAATATGCAAAAGTATGCTAAAGGTAATAGATTCAGACAATATGTACGTCTGAAGCCTTTGATTTGACCGGAATATGGCGACCTGCATGCTTTCTCCTCCGTCAAAACATCACCACATAAAATTGCCTAGAAGGCTTCAAACGAATTACATTATATCTAACTCCAAATATATTGCGCGAACATTACTTTGAGGCTAAGGAATCAAGATTTGAGTCAATTGACCACGTTAGAAATGTTTGAAGCATAGATGAATACCACTGGGCATAATCGAAGGAGAGAAAGTAACAATCGATAACCATGGTATTATATTAATCATACGGATTTCATGACATCGTTCGTACGCTCGCAAGATAAAGACAAAACCACAAACACCTTTTCCTTTCCGCTCCCCCTTTCCAACTCTATCGCTAAACATCGATGCTAAAATGACTAATTTGACTATAATATGCATGCACCGCCAACTCTAACAACCACACATCTCCGAACACATCTCCCCCGTCAAAGCCTCCTATTACCATGAGTCTACTATCGTGAAGTACTGTTCCATGGTAGCCGCGAGCTTTGATAGGCTCTCCGTAGACTTTCCGTTTATCCCAAGCCATGGTGACAAGATTTAGGAGTAGCACTTCATTCGAGTATTCAACGCCATCGTGTCCACCTATTACGAACAGATAGCTTCCTACAATAGTAGCAGTATGGCTCAGTCGCGGATATGAAAGCGAAATATTGACCGGAGAGAAAGTCGACGTCTCAATATCGAATACCCATACATCTCGGAAACATTCCCCACCGTCTGATCCACCAAATATAATAAGCTTAGATCCAACAATATTCGCCGTATGATACCCGCGAGCTTTTGGCTTAGTTCTATCATCGGCAGATGATTGCGTCGGAGCAGAAACGAGTTTCCAAGACATTTTGTTCGTATCCGCAACGTCTAGCCTCCACACGTCGTTCAATGCCCGCACCCCATCTCCGCCACCAAAAACATATATTCCATTCTTATATAAACATGCCGTGTGAGCTCTTCGTTTGCTTGGTATCTTCTCCCCAGATATACGCGGTTTTGACCATCGAAAATTTAATGTGTCGAGTACATATATGTCATTGTAGTATGCAGGTCCATCTCCACCACCAAACACTATCAGCTTCTTTCCCACAGCTGTACACGTCATTGCTCGTAAAGGAGCAGGTATATCTCCGCAAACAAAGGGCGTAGACCAGTAAAAAGCATCGGCATCTAAGACATATAATTCATTGAAACATGAACGTGCATCACATCCGCCAAAAACGTAGATGTTGGAACCAATTAGTGTGGTTGTGTGTGCCCGCAAAGACGTATGGGACGAACCCGAGACAGGGGCGCGAGACCAGTACATTCCTGATGCTGGCGCAGGAAGAACATTGGGTGCCAGTTTAGGATCTGGCAATGAAGGATACGGAATAGAAAGCCCACGAGGCGGACGCTGTGCGGGCGGTACAGGAGAAGACGAATTTGCGGAGGAAGGGACTTTCGGTGTTATGGCAGATGTGGAACGAAGATTAATGGGTTTATGCGTCTCATCTTTGGGAAGCTGCGGTACTGGGTTACTATCATCGGATGGTGACAAAAGTTTCTCCGAGGGAATTGGTGTACTGCTAACATGATGTAGCGAGGGTGGTTTCTCGGTCGTTGTTTTGATAGATGAAGTTGAGGATTCCTTTTGCGATAATGACTGTGATCTCTGGCGCAAAGCTAGATCAGATTTCTGCTTCCGCCTATCTTGACTCTTGGTTGATAGATGTCCCGGGGTATGACTGCGAGGAGGAGGAGGAGGCGCATTGTCTCGAGATGGCGGTGGTGGTTCGCAATCCTCAGGAATATCTTGAGGTCTTGTCTCTGTCGGAGATAATTGTATGATTTTCTGTGAACGTACGAGTTTCGTTTTTAAAGAGGGACGAGTCTTGTCATTGGGAGAATCAGCCATTGTAAATGCGCCTTTTTTTACTTGAACAACAAAATGAGGTTTTCATTGTTTTGCAAATGAAACGTGTGGGAAGTAAAATTAAGATTTGAAGGAATTCAGTCGTGGCTGATGAATTTTTGCGGTTGGATTTAAGTACAGTAAGTTTAATATGCAGTAAACGTCTCGAATGTCGCAGGAAAGATGGAGTTCTTCTCCCCTGATTCATTAGCTGTCCTTCACTGGCAGTGGAGATTTATCATATGTCTCGTATGCATATCAGAATGGAACCAAATGATTGACCGAATGGATACAGATGCCGGCAAGAGGTGGTTAGTTATGGCCACGATGGAAGAGCCATTTATCTGATCTGTATGGGAGGATAGAGGTTGTCTCTTCTACCCAGCGGAAGACAATGATGGAGGTATGTATGTATATTAATGGAATGTTATGACATTTGCTCAAGTCAATCACAAAATCGAATTGATATGAAGGACTGACTGAACTGTGGGGAGGGAAGGAAACGGGGACAACGACTGGATCCAGAAACAGACTTATGTTTCAGAATAATAAGCCCAATCTCGACTAGCTCCAGCTGGCCATGAACGCTTCAGCCACTTATCAATACGGGTCTAGACATTAAGCCACACATCTGTGGCTGCAATACTCTCACGTCCATCCATACCGACGGAGGTAGGTATTTGTAGATCTCGAAAAGACGCTAAGATAAAGCTCCCCTCAATTTTTTTTACTCGATTGCCATTCTTTGACAAGGCGAATCGGGATCATTTTCGACATCAACATCCCAATCCCATCCCACATCAATATCAACTCGAGAGATTGATCGAAAGAAACTACCAATTTTTCAAACTGTTTCTCGATAATTGAAAATTACAATGGCCGACGAAATCCCCAATCCAGTGGACCCTTCTCAGTCCTTGAAACGACCATTAGATGGCGAACAATTGGAGGAAGCACACCCACCGCAACCAATTCTTCCAGAGGATTCAGCAGTTACAAAGGCAGAGAAGGTAGAGAGAAATGGCACAAACGGGGATTCTGTGGACAATGGAGAACCATCTGCAAAAAGAGCCAGAATTGAAGAGCAAAATCACAAACCTACTGCAACAGATTCTCGTGATAGAGTCAGAGGCATTGCCCCTGTCAAGGCCGAGTAAGTCAATAATCATACATATTTTAGAGCCGATAACTCAATTGCGCTTCTAATTCGGCCCTTGCTAATTTGTTCCTAGGTATTTGATTCAGCCAGCCGGAAGTCGATCGGCCACTGATGGTCGCAATCCTGCAGAAAACGACGATGCTGCAGAAGGAAACACTCACGGAGATAATTGGGACAATGGAGGCAAGAAAAAAAAGAAGGCAAAGGGTCAAAATAAGGATCGCCAGTTTGGCTCCTGGGGTGACAAGATCAAACTTTGCAATAGCGTATCGAACTCGTCAGAATTCTCGCCAAAGGAATGCAGTTATGGAGATAGCTGTAAATGCGAACATAATCTTAGGAAATATTTGGCCGAAGGAAGGAGAGCGGATTTGACTACATTCAATTCAAAATGTCCAGTTTGGGAAGACAATGGAACATGTTTGGCTGGCTGGAAGTGTCGTTTTGTAGGAAGTCATTCGAAAGAGATTAAAAGAGAGGATGGTAAAATGGAGTTGGTCCTTATAGATGATACAGATCGCATGGATGATACAACACTCGGGTATGAAGAAGCGTTGGGGAGTGTCGTGAATGTGATCAGCACTAAAGATAAGATCGATCTGGCTAAAAAGAAAACGCCTATGGAGAAATCCGATCTCTACACAACATGGTTGGATCAGAATTCAGAGGAAGTTAACAGACAAAGTAACCTGAGAAAGGACCAGAAAAAGGATCAGACCGAGGAAGAAAAGCAAGAGAATCGGGCGCGATATGTGGAGCCCCCATTCCTCCCATCTGAGAAGCGACGAATTTACTTTGGTCCTGAAACACCTGTTCTTGCGCCGCTCACAACTCAAGGCAATCTCCCATTTCGTCGGCTCTGTGTGGAACTTGGTGCACAACTTACTTACTCGGAAATGGCAATGTCGATACCTTTGCTTCAAGGTCAAAAATCAGAGTGGGCATTAATGAAGGCACACAAGAGTGAAATCACACCACCACGAGTCAACGCAGACAGGAGCTCTATTGTTCAAAAATACGATAATTCCAAAGACTTGAAGTTCGGTACCCAGATTTCGGCTAGCAAACCGTTCATGGCAATTAAAGCTGCTGAAGTTCTAAGTCGATTCGTGCCGCATTTGCGAGTAATTGATTTGAATTGTGGATGTCCTATTGAACTTGTCTATCGACAAGGAGCCGGTTCAGCTTTACTCGATGCACCATCAAAATTAGAGAAAATGATCCGAGGTATGAATGCGGTTTCAGGAGAAGTTCCCATCACAGCCAAAATTCGAATGGGTACTATGACTGGAAAGCCTAATGCTTTTAAGACCATTGAACGTTTAGCCTTTGGAGGTGTTGAATCACGCGAGAGACTTGGAGCTCCTGGTTGCGCTGCTATCACCCTTCACGGTCGTAGTAGACAACAAAGATATACCAAAAGTGCCGATTGGAGCTACATTGCAGAATGTGCAGCTCTCGTCAAGTCATACAACCAAAAGAAGGATGATTTGACAGATACAGTCATGGAGCCAGACGCCCGTACATTACCAAATGCTCCTGATGGAAAAATACATTTCATCGGTAACGGTGATTGTTATTCTCACATTGATTATCTCGACCATATCCAAAATGCAGGCGTTGACTCCGTCATGGTAGCACGTGGTGCGCTCATCAAGCCATGGCTCTTT